TGATTGTCGTCTTAGAGGTAGATCCTCCTCCTGCTTTCCTTCAAGGCCACTGTCGATCAGATATATATCAGACACAATCCAACATTTTAAGCAGGTTACAACCTGGTTATCTGACAAACTATTTTTCTCATTATGAATTTGATTGTGAAAATTGGTAGAAGACTCACTTTTGAGGACACAGTGGTCTCAAAACAGCAAAGCCACAGCTAGTACTCCAAAAGGCTATATTTACTATAAATAGTTTATTGTAGCTTCTGTGTGACATGCTGACAACGAGGATTAATTTCATTTTGGATGCAAGAATGGAAAAGGATCTCCTAAGAATGGAAAATCTACAATAGACTATTTATAGTAAATATAGCCATAGCTGTGACTTTGCTGTTTTCATATTAGTGTGATGTTTTAATACATTTTAATTATACATTTTATATATAATTAAAATATATATAATTATACATTTTAATATAATACTTTAATATACTTAAAACTCTCTTAATTCTTTTTAATCAATCAATCGCTACATGAGCCTATGCTCCCTGATTTAGAACTATCTAGAATTGCAGTTGCCATGCTAAGCTAGTATCAGCTTGGCATTGCAACATCAAATCTAGACAGCTCTAACAACCAGTTCTGTGGGCGTGGCTTAGGTGGTAGGTGTGGCTTGGTCGTCATATGACTGGGTGGACATGGCTTGGTGGTCATGTTATTGGCTGGGTGTGGCCAACTCAATATCACTCACATCAAGGCATGCATCTCCTTGCCTGGCCTCTCATGACTGTGGGAATGCTGCAACAGTCGTAAGTGTGAAAAATGGTCATAAGTCACTTTTTTCAGTGCCATTGTAACTTTGAATGGACACTCCACACAAGCAAAGTACCAGCAAAGGAGGAGAAAAAAACTCCAGAGACATTCCTGAGACAGGAAGTCTAGTCCTGCCAAGAATGTAACAAGGGTTAACAGAGAGGCAGCAACACCAGAATGTTTCCTTCCTGCCATCCTTACAGGATTAGGCCAGTAATTTCTACTAACAACCGGTTCTCCAAACTGTTTAGAATGTTAACAACCGGTTCTAGTGAATAGGTGCAAACTTGTAGAATCCCACCCCTGCTCTAAACCTAAGGCAGGAAAGCTACTTATTCCGTCATCTTCACACTGAACTACAGGTCTTCCTTGGCAATGATGGAGTTTTAGATACACAATTTTAGCAGAAGAAACAGAAAGTAACAGAAATTGTTGGAAATTCTCAAGAAAGCAGTACCACAGTCTCAGTCCCAAGTATCAAGAAACTTTTTTTTATTGACTTTCAGAATATACTACATTCTTAGCCTCCATAGCACGGCATGTCTGCAGGCACATTCCATTAATGAACACAGTCAGAGTCTTCACCAACACTGCCTCTCCCTGCATGAAGCCAGCTTATTGCTTGACCCCAACTGACATCACTTCCCTCTTTATGGCACAAATTCTAAAGGAAGCCAAATGTTGGTACAGCAGCAAGAAGGAAGTTAAGGTACAATTTAATCTACTTAAAAGGATGCACATTTCCTTTTATTTTTTTTATCTGTGAGATAACATTGGCAAATCAAAGGAGGCCTCTATTTTTCTGCATGTTCGCCTAAACATATTAGGTAACAAACATCTGCTTTTTATTCCAGCAAAATCAATTTGGAGCCCACACGAATGTGCTTTACTTTGAAAAAGATTCCCCCCCCCCAAAATCAAAATCAGTGTCAAAATCAGAGGAAGACAACGTTTTATCTGGAAAAAAAGAAAGCCAACTCTCCCCATCCCCTATGGGTTAACAGCAGTTCCACATCTCATTTGTGAACCCTATGAAAACTTGGGGAGGGCAAAATGTAGTTTAAAATGTAAAAAAGACATATAAATTTGTATTTTGTAGGCTTGGCCTTATTTTCTCCCACCAAACCAAGGAATCCTTCCGGCATACTGAATATATTTATGTAATTATATAATTATATAGGTAGGTAGGTAGGTAGGTAGGTAGGTAGGTAAACGGACAGACAGACAGATATTCACATTTCCTTTCCACATAAGTCAGATTATGAAAGGCACAGAAAAGGAATAAAATAGGAAGTCAATGAAGTTGAAAGTATGAAATAATAACAAGAGAGAGAAAAATATGAAACAGTATAGGATGTGATTAAGATATAGTCATCATCTTTCATTTTCAATTTTTTAATGTTCAACTTTTTACTTTTTTTAAGGAACTAGGAGCATGCCCACCTACATAATTCTCCCCCCCACACACACACAAAAAAAATTCCTTCTTTGGAACTAACCACAAACTATTTAGCTCTAGTACCTTTCTACCAGCATTTGAACATTTTTTTTCTGTCCTTAGGAAGCATGAAGAAACTTTTTTTTTTTTGCCCTTTAATCATTTGTTCTATTTTATCTGTCAAACTAACCTCTCTGGTCTGGTGCATTCATTATCAGATCAAAACAGTCAATCACATCATACAATCAATATAATATTTGCTGCAAACAATTTGGCTTTTCAGCACTAGAAACACTTGGAAATGTCTTCTCTCACATTCACACATTTCCAAACGAGTTAATGATCTGAGAAGCAAAGGATCCAGCCCCATCTTTAACACAAAGTCACAGACCATTTTCCAAAATTGTTCACTGTTGTGTCTCATACCCAGAATTCTCATACCCAGAATTCTGATCAGCCAGTTCCCAGGCACATTTAATAAACTATTTTTGTTTTTACTGTATCTTTCCCTTTGAACAGGGGAAGAATACTTTCAATGCTAATTCTTTCAAATGTCAAAAAGAACTTTCACACCTACCTTAAGCAAATTGCACATCCACTTTATGTACCAGCCATATATCCTTATTTTAACATTTCTCCAATGATACTATTGTCAGCTTCAATATTTTTCAACATAGTCATATAATATATATTTTTAGTGGACACAAGAATGTATTCCTATCCATGGCCCAGTTCTTTTTTTCTGCATTCTTTCATCTCATTCCCTTCCATCCATTCATATCATTTAACACATTCTGGCATCACGTTCACTTCCCAAAATTCACCCCTACTTCACTCATTATCACAATTTAATGTAACATCATATGCAAATATCACAACCATGAATTCATAAGTTTATATGCACCCATAACCTAGGTGATAGAAATGTATACATTCTGACATATTTTTAGCTCTTTAATTAATAATTAAACTTATACTCCCACTTCCCTGCTTATATTCATCAATGCAAAAGATCAAAACGTTTTCATTCAGTTACATTCTTCTCTTAATTCCACAGGCACACAAGAAATCTATTTTTTTTCTCTTTTCTTTCATTCATTTATTCATGCTGCTTGCTATTTCCATACATTCCAAGTTGTAATATGTCATGATTCCCACCAGATCTGTTCATGGATATTTTTCTATTGCGCCCCTCATGGTTTTAATTAATCAGTGGTTTCCCATAATTCATTGATAGTTTACATAATTCATTGTTACTAAGATAAACTGAACACTAGATCTCCAGCCTTGGCGATACTGATAATGCGTGAAGCTTTCCCTGTTAATGGTAAGTATACCAGTACTACTTATTTTTCACTTGCCTATAACTAGACACAGTATAAGTTATATCAATTAGTTTGGGCATATTTTGGTCAGCCTGCCACAAAGATTTTGAAAACCCATTACTGGTTCTCCCAAAATTTTCATCTCTGCACTCAGGGAAGGATAGGGACTTCTATCTCTCTCACACACAAAAAGAGAAATAAAAAAGGGCAATGAAAACTAAATTAAAAAGTTAGCTGAACCAATCAGTTGTCTTTCACATAATATATATTTTTGCTCTGGTAGAAGCTTCCAATAATTCAGAAGCTGGTTTCAATTCCAGATAGATGAACCACAAGCAGATCTCTATCTCAGTGTACCACTTTCACTTCAACACCGGCCTGTCATTATTCTCACAGATTACATGAGTGGCTCATTAACTGAATTGCATGGTGGATTTCAGATTCTTTCCATATCTGTCTCTACTGAAAAGCTCAGTTCATGTATTTCAGCGAGGGAACTCTCTACCTGCGGGAATAAACCTAAGTAGGCTTGCTGAACAAACCTGAGCCTTGAGCTTGAAATGGATTTCAGACAACTTCTCCTTAGTTATTTCTACCCCACCTCTTTTCCCTCATGGAAAAAAATCACACTGTCTCTTGGCAGTGTCCCATTAAGTATTGTGTGATACCAGAAGACCTTAACTTCACTACGAATGTGACGACATACATCTTCAGATGACATTAAGCTTGGAGCCTCTCAGAAGGTTGAAACAAAAGCAATAACAATTGGAAAGGGGTTTGCTTACCAAAAATACTATCAATAAAAAACAACAAACATAGGTCATTTGGAGCATCAAGGGGCAACCAAGGTCTATCTAGAACAAGCTGCTTTTTATTAAGGACAGACCATTGTCCCACTGATTAAGGAATACTCTAATTAGCAGTAGGTCTTTCGGGTTCTTCAACCCTGACATTTAATCTTTCCAGGTGAGATGGTGGGAATTGAAGGATGCCATCGTGCATCTATTCTCAGGGCTCCTGAGAGGTGGTGGTGGCAAGGTTCAACTAAAGACACTGGGGGATTTTAATTCAGGGGAAACCCCATTCCCAAGGCCAATCATGTTTGGGCCAGTTGTTTGCTTGCCTACCATCCCACCTTTTAATAGGCAGCGTTAGGAGATGCCTAAACTAAGGAAGGCAGAACCACCAAACCCACCGGCCACCCCACGCGAGGAAAGAGCAGAGCAGCGACGGATGCCCGCAGATGCAACGTGGGGAGAGAGCGGACTCCCCTCCCCCCCCCCGCCATCTGCCCCTGTCCCGCATATCAAATCCCGGAGGGAGGGGCCGTTTCCTTCTAACGGCATCGTGACTCTCGTCGGTCAATCACCAGCTCCCCCCCGCCGGCTGGCCCTGCCGCCCCTCCATTCCCCGCCGCCGCTCGGCCGTCTTCTCACCCGCGGATTCGTTCCGCCGTTGGCTTCCCTCCTCGCGGATCACCACCGTTCTCGACACGTCGAGGATGGAGGCGGTGGCTGCTTGCATGGCTCGGGGCTTCCGAGCCGCGGGATGGTGGGGGCGACCTGGCGCTCTTCTCCGGGCAAAATCTCGCACTCTCCCCGAGGGAGGGGGAGAGGAAAGGCAGGACGGGTCTTAACCCGCTGGCCTGTCCGCTGCGGCTGAGGGGGATCGCGTCGTTCCCAGCAAGCGTCTCTCCGCGGGCTTCGTTTCCCCGCTTCTCCTTTTTTACAACTGCCGGCGCTTCGCTCGCCGTCCCCTCCGCCTCAGCCCCGGCGGCGTCTAACGAGCGGCAAGCAAAGGACGGTGCTTGAGCACCTGGAGATCCCGCCCTCCCCCGCTCGCTCCCCCCCTCTCCCCCCTTCCCCCCACCGCCACACACAAGGCACACCTCGCTTCCTCTTCGGCGCTGAACCCGGGCGAAGGAAGCGGAGACCGTCGCGCCTTCTCTATTCAACGACCATCGGGGACTCGACGTGCCGGATCCGTCGGAGCTCTCCCGTCGGATGCGCCCCTTTAGCCGCGCCGGATCCAATCCAAAAGTGCGTCGCGGCTTCCCTCGTGAAGATCGAGCAAGAGGCGGCTTCCCGAAGAGCTCGTCCAGGGGCTCCGAGGCGCCGCTACCGGAGCGGGCTGCGCGATTCATCTGGTGAAAAAGCGAAGGTGGACGAGTGGCTTTCGCCGACTGAGGGGCAGAATCCGGGGCCTTCTCCCGGTAGAAGAAGTCGCGCCAGGATCCCGCGCTCCTTAGTCCGAAGTAATCTCCCCTTCCTCAGCAAACGGGAGCATTTAGGCCACATGAATATGCATGAGTAATTTTTTCAATACACCTGGTTGTGTAAGACAAAGGCACGCTCCGCTGCGTGAGCGGCGGAATCATCGCACACCGCGGCATACTCTCTAGAGGCAGACGGAGGGGTGGTTGGTTTTGTTTTGTTTTTGGTTTGGTTCTTTTTGCCTAAAATGGCAATTTATCTTTTGCGTTGCTCCTTATTTTAATAATTCATCTCTTGCCTGATCTTTGGGAGCTCACACACAACGCTCCCTCCTTTCATATTTTCCCTAAACAGAGCTTTACGATGTAGAACAGACTGCAAAATAGATCAGTTCAAAGTTACTCTACGACAGTGGAATTGAACCTGCACAGTCTTCCGAGTTCTACCACGACTTCACAGTTACTTTCCATTTGCGTTTATTCAGTTTCTATTCTCTACAGAGAGAAAGAGAGAGAGAGAGAGTGCAAAACCTTTAAATGTGGACCTAAAATATGCCTGATTTGCAAACGTTCATATCCTTCAAAATGTCCACATGAAAATTACGTTTTTAAAAATTCTGTGGCGGGGGCAAATAGCATCAAAAGAATCATATGCAGGAATATTTTTGATGCACAGGTAGAACTCCCACTATCTTACTTTCTCAATGTAAAAAAAATCTATAAGCCCTTACTGAACTATGGTTTGTATTAATACATGCCTGGGTTTGCATGATCATAGCTACTTACAAGAAGTCCTGGATGGGATGATTGACAGCTGTGCAGCTCAGAAAATGGGACAAAGAGGAGCAGTAAGAATAAAGTTTTTGTAGGTAAACCATTAAATATACTACCCTAGCACTGAACAAAATACAGTACATCTACTAAAGACAACTATATAATAATGCCAGTCCAGTAAGTATATAATAATGCTATCTCATATAGCCATAGTATCTAGTTAAAAACCATCATGCAAATTACATAAATGACATAATTTCTATTAGATATCATGAAACCAATGACTTACAGCAAGGGTGTCAAACTCACGTTGTCATGGCAACTTCATGTGACATATTGGAACTTTTTTTCCTCTTTGCTAAACTGGGTGTGGGTGTGGCCAGCCCGTGATGCATCCGGCTGCGGGCTGGGAGTTTGACAGCCCTGACTTACAGTAAGTAATGAATAAGATTTGCCAGTGACATAATGATAGATATGACATCATTTCTTTCCTGTGCACATATCCCTATTATTCCCTTTGCTATGCAACTCTAAATTTGCTCCGTTATCCCAAATCCAAATAAATGATAGCCTTCAGCCTTGTCAGTTAGAACTGCTAATCAAGCTGCAATCCTATGAGCCTTTCTTTCATTCAGTAGAGCTTTCTCTAATGCATTAAGCCTGGCTTTATTTATGCAGAAGGTAGCAGTACACAAGTGTGGGGTTTGATTTCAGGCAGCACTGAAAATGTAAGAGGGTTAATTTGACTGTCGTAATTCATGGAGACATCCATGCAGTTTTCTGCTTATCCAGATAGAAGAGTTTTCCATTGCTTTTTTCAGGCATTTTTTTTAATGTTCCCAGACTATCCTAACATTCTAGAATTCCATGGGGTTTTCCATCCAAATATCGGACAGTCTGAATCTTTCTTAGCTTCGCAGACCGTATGTCAGCCCAGTGAGTAAACTCATAACTTGTCGTTATTAATCTCGGGCTTTGGATATGATAACATAATCCCCTCCAGGTAGTTTCTGCTGCCATCTCACCAGCTGATTGACATCTGCCTGAAACTAAGCTGATCTGTGCAGGGCAGGGCTATCTATTTATATTACCGTAGCTTGTTCTGCAGAAAGGGTAAGACATTTTTAAAATTAAAATACCCTGATATGCTTATTGGATCAGCAAAATAACATGGGGAAAAAAAATGAGAGAAGGTATGTTTAAGCGAAACCGGAAGATATGGACTGATTTAATAATAACGCAGGATTCTTTTATTTCAGGCTGCAGCATATGTACACATTTATTTCATCAAATGTCTATGACTTCCCATCTCAAACAAGGTGACACTAGGTGACTACAATAAGCCCAACTTTTAAAACAGAATATGAGAAAACAGCTAAACAATTAACACAAGTAAAAACAAGATTGTGAGAGGGTTAACATATGTGGTATAATCAGTTGTGGTATTCAGTCGGTTTGCAACGGATCAGGTGAACCAGTAGCAATTTGGTGTGAGTCACCAAACCGGTAGTAAGTTCTGGCTGGCCACACACCCCCACTCGGTCACCCTCCTGCCCAATGCTCACTCACCCCGCCCGCCTGCCTGACATTTGCCTAAGGTATTTCTTTTTTTCCCCTCCCGACAATCAGCTGTTGATAAGATCAGCTGTGCCAGGATTCCCCTTCCTGAGGCCCAGGAAGGCAAAAAATGGACGGAGGAGCTCAGCCCTCCCTCCATTTTTTGCCTTCCAGAGCCCCAGAGGAGCCTTAGGGGAGCAAAAACGCCCCCCCCAGGCTTCTCTGAGACTAGGAAGCTCCCAAAATGGAGCTTGGAGGGGTGCTGCATGCCCCTCTGTTCCTTTTCTTCCAGAGCCCCAGAGGAGCCTTGGGGGAGCAAACCCCCCCCCGAGACTTCTCTGTGGCTAAGAAGCTCCCCAAAACAAGTGGGGGCTGCAAAAAAAGCTACGCCCACTCAGTCACATGGCCAAGCCCACCAAGCCACGCCCACGGAACTGGTAGTAAAAGTTTTTTAATATCACCATTGCGTATAATCAATAGGTGGGTTTTCTCCTGCCAAATTATCCTCAGGCCTAAAGAGTGGGGGAAAAACCATATTTTGAAGGCTTTTGAAAAGGCCAAAACGTTGGAACCAATTTCATTTCAGACAGTGGTGGGGTTCACAAAATTTTACTACTGTTTCTGTGTGCGTGGCTTTGTGGGCATGGTGTGGCTTGGTGGACGTGGCTCTGTGGGCGTAGCAGGGGAAGGATACTGCAAAATCCCCATTCCCTCCCCACCCCACTAACTTGCTTTTCAGTTCCGTTCACCTGTGTAGGGCAACAAAAGAAGACCCAGCCGATCAGCTGGGACTCTGGAGGAAGAGAATAGATGGGATGAAAGCCAGTCAGAGTTGGAATTTGCCGGTTCTCCGAACCACTCAAAATTTCCACTACCGGTTCTCCAGAACTGGTCAGAACCTGCTGAATACCACCTCTGATTTCAGAGGGAAGTTGTTCCAGAAGGTGGGTGCCATAGAACATCTTCTAGGTCCCATCAAATGGAAATCCTTAATAAATGAGACTCACAACATGCTTCTCCTGGCCCTGGTGTGATGGATAGAAATAATTAGGGAGAAAAGAGCCATCAGATAATCCAGCCCTGGGCCATGTAGGGATTTAAAGGACAAAAATAACACCTTGAATTGGACCTGGAAGCAAATTATGTGGGTCACAGAGCAGAGGTATAACTCTATAACTGCATTTGCATCAGATCGAAGCTTCTGATTACTACAATAGAGCACATTATCGTAGTCCATTCAAAAGATGACCAGAATATGAGTAATTGTGAGTAGAGCCTCATGATCCAAGAACAGGCACAACTGGTAAACAATATGAAGTTGTTCAAAGGCCTCCTGGTCACAACTGCCCCCTGCTCCTTGAGCAGCAATTGTGAATTCAGAAAGATCCTCAGCTTATACATCAGGTATGTTTAGGATAGTACAACTATATTCATTAGAAAAGATGTGCCGCTTCAGATTTGGAAACCACTCAGAATTGGGGCGGGGGACGTTTGACAGTTGACCTTACCCTACACTTCCATGTAAAACAGAAGGTTTTAAAAAGATTGTTCACCCCTGAGGCACTCCACAGGTGAAAGACTGTGCACACAATCTCTCCTTCTATGAACATTAATTGGAACCAACTTGTGCTTTTAAAGTTGTAGCAACGTTTCGGCAGAATCTCATCTGCCATCATCAGGCTTCTGTATTGTGTTCATCTGTGAGTCAGACTTTCACAGCGGTTTCTGTTTTAAATTTGGGGCTAGCCTACTGCTGTGCCAGAATGGTTTTTTCTTCATCCTGATTGGTTGGGAGTCTTGGTCTGTGTTTATTGGTCTTGGAGTTTGCTGTGTTCTGCTTGATTGGTGTTTCTGATATCTTCTGTCTGTTTTGTGGCTTTTTTGTGTCTTGATTGGCTGGCAACATTGCGTTTCCTGTATTGGAGGCTTTTAGTGCAGCTTGGCTCCGAGTAAATGGATGGTTATCATTTGTTAGGAAGCT